TAGTTCACACAGAAAGGAGAATTCTACGTAGTAAGGTTTATAATCCATAAGCGCGGCCGAAGGCCGCCTACGCAGAGAGATGCAAAAGGCGTTCGGCCCCTTTTCTTCGGCAACACCGAAAGGAGAATTCTACGTTGTGAGGGTTATAATCCCTAAGCGCGGCCGAAGGCCACCTACGCAGAAAGGTGTTCAGCCCCTAATCCCCCTACTATTTATTTTAATCTGAACAAAATAACCTTATCGTATCTTCTTTTGGTCTTGCTTTCCACTCTTGGTTTTTTTAGATATGGCAACACAGTCCTGCTGCCATCTGCACATATTCTGCTATACATACTCTCATAAAATTAAAAAACAATCAATTTTTGATAAAAAAGCTGTAATATACTTAAAGTATTTATTTGTTCGAACGTGCACACTCTTACTGCGCATATATTGAGTGAAAATAACGTCCAAATTTAGTGGAAAGTGCATTATATATTGTGAAATAGTCCCATACAAGTTGGTGAAAATTACAAACTTTAATAACAAATTACTTAAAAACTATAAGGTTCCGCGCTTTAAAACTTTACATATACCCCCTTTAGAACCCCCTCTACCCCCCGTATTTTCCTTAATTCCGTACTCGGGGGTTACCATTCTAAAATTTTCCCCGACGAATTATGGTGCATTTACAAGGTATGAAGCCATATGAACTGTTGATACGCTAAAATAGAGGGACTACATGTTCTTATGAGGAATTCAATGATATCGAGTGGGATGCATATAATACATTTTTTCATATGAAGAGTTATGGGGAGATACTGTAAACATACTGTTGTGATACTGTTAAGCATATGAAATTATAGCAAGTTGAATTTTCATACATCTCCCCATAAAAAGTTTAACAGATGCAGAGATTCCAAGGAGGAGTTTTCCCATTTTGATGCCTTTTTAATATAAAAACCCACCGAAAAGGAGGAAAGCGGCAACTCCGCCATTCACATACATGTCAAAAGTATGAATTTTAAAAATTAAAAACAATAAACAAACAAATTCAAAACAAAGAAATTCTTTGTACTAGAACTTTTTCAATAGAAGCAACTCACGTATAGTGGACAATCAAAATACTATACTAGCACTATGATAACAAACTTAAAAACAGGACATTACAGAACATTTTAATGAGCTTTATATCACATTTAAGTAAAAATAAGCCTATATTTTCCAAGATGGCAAAGAAATGAAAATGTGTATTTTTTGTTTTTTACACAAAGACTTGCAAATATACACATAAGTCAAAATTATAGAAGGCATGTATACTTCTCCCTTTCATTTTTTCATAGTTTATGGTGCATTTACATGGTATGAATCTGTTCATAAGCCGTATGAATTTTCCTATAAAAGAAGCACCAACTCTATGAAGAAATGAATGAAAGCCATATATATTTAAAAATTTTGACTTATATACTTGGCAAGTATTTTTTTGTAAACAACAAACAAAAAAATTTCATTTTGTGCTAACTTCGAATCTATGGGCACGTTCAGAAGGCGCAACAGCTCAGTAACTGTTGCGATTGCACCTTCTGAACGCGTTGCTTTGTACTTCTGATCAACTGAACAGTTGCGTGTTAGATGATCGTAATATTAGGTGCGTTCGTTTAAAATCTCCAGCAGAAACCAACCAACTGCCAAATTCCGGCGAAATGTCATCTGTTCTCTCACAAGAGAAAAATATCCAAAATAGTACGCGAACAGAAAATTTGCAGAAACTTGCAAGTTAGACGAACAGCTGATTGAAATTTTGTTTACATTCAAAAGTGTAAAATTTAAAACATAAGCAAAGCGCTCACAAAGTGTTACTACTAATGCAGTTTATGACTTAACGAATAATTACGGAGTTCTTACAAGTTTAATTAGAGGTAGTTTACAGTTTTGATATAATTGATTTGCGTAAAGTACAATAATCTGTCCGTAGTTTTGTGAAGTGGTCCTGGTCAGACGCATCAATTTTAATCAGCCCCAGTGGAAACAACGTGTGCCTTTTCGCTTCAATACATTATACACTTTTTATCGCGCTGCTGGATTTCAATAAAAGGTACATCGGTTTTGTGAAAGTGGCCCTGAGGAAAGTGGGAATTTCTAATGATATTTTTAACCAACAGACGCATCAGTTGCAAATAGCCCTTAGCAAAAGATGGCAAGTAATAAAAAGTTGGAAGTACACTGCTCTCCTGGTACATTCCGTAGAGTTGAAAGTGGTAAGTACTTCTGAAAATTATGTGTTTCAATGTCGTGATTATGCCCACCGCAAAATCGTTGTACAAATAACAAAAAATTTTCAAATTAAATTAGATCAAGACTATCGCGTACAAATAGCTTGTCAGCATGCAGGCGATGAAGCCTATGAAGAAATTATTTTCACGCAGGGTGTTGCTGGCATGGCAACTGCTGCAATCGATGAATCTCGAACAGTACCGAACGAAAGCATATGTACTTTGTTCCCATTCCCGGTGGAAGCAGCCAGGAAAAGAAATTGTTATGGCTCGATGCCCCTACGAAAGTTTTGCTTGCGCTGGTGAAGGAGTTGTGACCTAAGGTTGGGAAGACTGCTAACCTAAGAAATAAAAAGCAAATGTGGAACACCATCACGAACGAGCTCTGCGCTAAAGGGCATTTTTATAATGCTGCGCAGGTGGAGGGCAAGTTTTTCACTCTGGAGCGCCGCTACAAAAATGTTCAGCTCCACAACTCCCAAACAGGCAGAGAAAGACAAACTTGTCCTTATCAAGCGTAAGCTTTGAGACTCTTATAAACAATTTTAATTTTATTAATTATTATCAATTGTTTTCATTTGTAATTATAGTGAGCTGGATGAAATTTTTAAAGAATGAGCATCAGTTCATCCGGAATACGTTATCGATAATGAGGTTGAAGTGTCGGCTGAAGCGGATGAAGGTTCCTCGCCAGCTTCTCCAGCCTCTCCAGGTATTAACGTATAGAATCATATGTAACTAAAATGAGTATTTTTTGTGCTTAAATAAGTTTTAGACGCGGCACCTTCTACCTCGAGAAAAAGAAAGTCAGCAATAGAGTAGTTTATGGAGAAAACGGGGCTTCGCGATGCTAAACGGGAAAAAATTGACGAAAATCTGCAAAAGTTGCTGGAGGAGAACATAAGAATTAAGGAGGAAAGCATGAGGAGAAAGGAAGCTCGTGCTGAAAGAAGAGAACAGCTACAGACTGAAAAAAATTCTATTTTAAAATCTTTAGTAGATCTTTTAAAAAGATGAGTATACCTATATCCATGTACAAGAATAAGAAAATTCAGTAAAAGTTTCATTTCAACATTTCAAACTTTTTAATCAGATTTTTTAGAAAAATGTTTGGTGTGCAGTTTCAATAATTGTTTTGTTGGCGGTGTTATTTTTTTTTATATAAAATAAATTCGAAAACACTTTGTATGGAAGAATAACCCCTTCAGGTTAAAAATTATTAAAAATCAGCAGGATTTTTCAGCAACCTCACACTTCCACTTTATTATACTAAAATAAAACTGCATACCAAACTTTTTTCTAAAAAATCTGATTAAAAAGTTTGATATGTTGATGAAACTTAGCTGAATTTTTTTACAACCTTTGAAATTTGGGCGTACATGGTTTCGGTTGTGTTTCGCTACCCTATTAGTTTTTACCCACTGCATTTTCAAAATTGTTCCTAAAAATGTGATCAGAAAGTTGCAAACTTGTATGCAAATTTATTGAATTTTCCTGAGTTTTGCACAAAGTGTAGAAAATATATTTTTATGTTTTTTGTTGTAGTATAAACTATGTTTTCATAAACTCAATATATTACATGCTATTTGGAATAAGTCTTTTAAAACATAACGATCTTTAATATATTTACGTATTATCTAAAAATGATTTGGGTAATGAAATAGTACAAACATAATAGAGTAAAAACCAGAATAAAAATAAATACATACAGTGTCCCATTAAAGTGAAGGAATGTATCTTTTTTCGAAATATTCACGATATTTTTTCGTGATGTAGTTAATTTTAAAACATATACCATATAAACCAAATTTTAAAACAATGTACATACATATGTATGTGTGATAAAAATTGACAAAAATTCAAACAAATGGTCCTCGAAATTCCAGATATATATTGTGAATTTATAAAAATATTTTGAGTTTTTAGATTTGTTAAAAATCAATTTAGGTATAATCAAGGTATGGGCCATCGAAGTTCGAAATTGAACCTTTGGTAAAAGATTATTTTTAATTATTGTATGTAAAAAACAAAAAAAGTAAAAATACAGACGTGCTCCGCCTTTTCTCTTATTTATATGGTAAACTTATATTACAGATGCTATAAGGGTTCAAACGTCAGATTTTTGAAAAATTAAAAACTTCATATTTCAGAAAATTTGGAAATGGTTTTTAAAAGATTTAAGGAAAAAATACCTTTTGTTTAAAAAAAAAATACAAAAAGGTCACTAATTAGTAATATAATTGAATATCATATTTTAATAAAACAAATAATTAATATTGTTTTATGCGTTAATTCGTTCTTCTTCACCCACAGCCCTGTTAAAAATAAAGCAAACGTATATGTAACAGAAGTGTAAGGGCTGGTTTCTCCATCTCAACTTAAACTTAGTTTGGACTTAGTCAACTTTTGGCTTAGGTTACCCTAGATGGTGAAAATGAATAAGTCCAAGTTCATTTTCACCATCTAGATTAACCTAAGCCAAAAGTTAGCCTAGTTTTTAATCAGCTTATTCTTGACTAAGTCTGAACTAAGTTAAGTTCAGTTGGAAAAATCGGCCCTAAGGCTTATAAAAATATAAAAACACCATGGTTTTTGATCTTTTACATAACAAGCTAGATATACAAATTAAAGGTAATTCTCTATTTTATTTAAATAAAGTATTCAATTGTATTACTAACTGGTAATTTTTTTGTTTAAAATATTTTTTATAAGAAAAAATAGCTATTTTTTCCTTTTAAGTGTTTTCTCAAATGTTAATATACAAAGTATACAAATATGCATATTAAAAGAAAGGGGTTTAACCGCCTTTAAAACGATACCAATTTAAAAAGCAGTTCACAATTGTTCAAAATATTGGGAATTTAATTTTTCGAAGACCTGAACTTTGACCACTTGTATATGTTAAACATGTTGTATGTATATGTTAAACATTTTGATTTCGGCGGAGCTGTATATCGCGACAAATCGGATCTCTCACCGAGTTTCCCCTTGCAACTTCGCCATGCACGGTGATTTCCTCATTGAACTCCGGAGTTGCCTTTGCCGTAAATTCTAAATCTTCCTCGTCGGCAATGTTATGTAAAACACAGCAATCCCTTACAAAATGGCAGATCTTTTTCATGCCTCGTAGCTTACAGTGATATAACTGCCTGAAACGTTGTTTAAGGATTCCGAAGCTATGTTCTATAGCTATGCGTCCAGAACTTAATTTAATATTAAACAATTTATTAGCGTTTGTTAGATGGCCATTATCTTTGTAAGGCGTGATTAGGTATTTGTTGCAGGGATATGCGGAATCACCTAACAGGTAATAATCTGAAACCAAATGCTGTGTTATGTGATGGTAAAGATTTCAAGGGTTGTTACCTTTACAATAAGAGGGCAATCTGTTGTAAAGCGTTGAGTTCTTAAATACCCAACTATCGTGGCAAGAACCTGGATAGCCAACGAAAATGTTCAGAATTTTTTTATTTTCGTTGCAAACGCTTGCAGACATATTGACGTCATTCCTTTGCGGTCAATATAATCGTCCTTTCCTTTACTTGGCGGGTCTATCCTTATGTGCGTACCATCAATGCAACCTAAATAGTTGAATTAATATAATTTATATACAAGTTCATTGACAATTGAATATTTCACCTATTGCCTTGGAAAATAAACATTTCCTGTCAAAGAATCTACTTGATTCCTCCATCTGCTCTTGGGTTGGCCATACAATAAATTGTGGACTTAGGGAGCTTAAGAACATCGTTACTCTGTTAATCACGACACAAATCGTTGAAAGAGAAAGATTGAAGCGGTCGGCTAAATCTCAGTAACAACATCCAGCGTGGCCAGTAAATCACAAAAATAACAATAAATGTGTCTTTTCCGAGAGTCTTTTGTCACCACGAAGATTGCAATAAAAATCCGAAACTAAGAACCTTTCGCTTAGGTTTTCAAAAAGACTTGGAAATTCGGAAACAGGGATGCCGTTTGGATCTAAATAGATCCAATTGGATACATTTTTTGACGAATTTTTGCGGAATACTTATTTTTTCCGGTCAGTATAAAAGTGGATACTTTTTTAAATAGGCCAAAATTGTATATTTCCTATAAAGTTTTTTTTGTTCAAAAATCGATTTTCATTAAAGATGGTAGAAAGCATTACGTTTTCTAAACGTATAAAGAATCACTACTTAAGCGTGAAATTAAAGAATTTTATTTTTTGTGAACGAAGCAATGACCATATGAAGAGATCTCACCAAAATAGGTATAACCGCAATTGCTTTAATTAGCTTAAAAGGATGCTTTAAGCAAGATCTTAATATACATACATATCGTCGTTCAAAGTACAAAACCGCAACAAAATGCAAAACCGCGTATCAAGATAATGCAAAACCGCGTATGTGACGTTGCATAAATTGTTTTCTAGAGAGTAAAAACACTTATATTTCAAAATGGTTCCCTTTTTTATAAAGCAATCGCATTTCTGGCTAGTATATTTCAGGACGAAGTCAAGAGCTTGTGTGAGCAAATCCAATTTTTGGCAGCAAATGTCAGTTACGCGGTTTTGCAGAATGACGATACGCGGTTTTGTACTTCAAACGACGATATATGTAAAGTAAATTATACTCTTTCTGTAGTTATCTCTTTCATATCATATATTTTCATTTGTAAATTTAAAAAACAAGAAGATTTCAATGTAGTTTAAAAAACTAAATTTGATTTATTTAAGCAAACTTTTATGAATTTTACTGAAATGACTTTAAATACACTCTAAAAAATTTTGTTTATTTGCGCATATTGAGAGAGGTAACCAGTTTCCTCTTTTAATGTATGCAAATTTGCAAGCCGTGTAATAAAATTAATCATTGCCTGTTTACTTTTACACATACAATGTTTAAAATAAAGTAATGTTTATTATTAGTAGGAATTGTATTTGTAGTTTGAAAATTTTTGCAATTTTAAACATTCTACATATGTGTATTTATGTGTATATTTTAAAGATCTCAAGTTCAAAATCAAATACTGAACATCCTATACGTATATTTATACACATTTTTGTTGAAAAATAGATACTTTTCAGTAGTAGTTTTACATGCTCTTTTTAGAGTGTACTTGCTATTTATTATATTTACTTTGCAAAATACTTATACACAAAAAATGTACTTTATAAATTGAAATTACAAATGTTTGATTTTATGCACATGTATTCCAAGTCCTTAGCGTGGGTTAAATTATGTCTTTTTCATGAAAATGTTTGGTTTTCTTACAAGTTATGAGATGTATATGTAAAAAAGAAAATTGAATACATTTGGATACATTTTTGGCTTGGTTTGGCTTGGGATACATTTTCTTGAGACGGCGCGGCAACACTGATCCTAAATTCTCTTTCAGTGTAAGTTGGCACTGTTTGCTCAATATAATTATTAACGCAGTTACGAGGCTGTCTTTTACTGAACAGCAGCAATATATTTGAATACAAGTCGTAGTTTGTTGATAACTTTTGCATTATCGCTAACTCCTCTTCGTTCTCACTTTCACTGTCACTTTCTGATGAAGATGATTCCATTGCAATCATAAGCGCACTAACAATTTGTTTTCTTTCCATTGCTTTTTTTGCATCCATATTCTCGGCTTTTGTAAAAAAATAAGGCAAGTTTTTAAGACCGAAAGAAAATGTTTATAAAAATGCCTTCGAAGTTTCCAATGTGCTGATTTATTGACATGGAGGGATTATCCTGCTCTGCGGTACTTCCTGGCTTAGTTGGAAGTTCATCTTCATTCGTTTCACGACTACATATCCTTTTGTTGGGGACCTAGTAAAAAAGATTACAATTTATTATACATACATATGCACATATATATAAACTTAACAAAAACTAGATCTACTTACTTCTTCCATATTGTAATATTTGCTCATATTTGTTTTCTAAAATGCTAAAATTCAATTTCGGGATTTTCGTTTATTCCAACCAGCTGTTTTTGATCAGCTGCTTTGCTGTTGGCAAAAATTTTTCCAGCAGAAACCAGCAGCTTCCCCTCAAAATGAAATGTCACTTTGCTCTCTCAATTTCCCCTACTTTTGGTTAAACCTGAACAATTAACAGCTACGCGAACGCAACTATTATTCTGATCATTTCAGACAACATGTTGTGTGTTTTGAATTTGACAGCTAATGTATCAAGCCGTTCAGAAGACGCATTACGATCACTGATTTTTTTAGTAACAGTTGGGCTCAACTTCTGCGCCTTCTGAACCTACCCTATGTATGTAGAGGCTTATTTTTTTAATGTGCTTTAAAAAGGACCTACTGCCAATAAAGCGTTGCGGTTTGCCATTTTTCAAATCTGCAATTCTTCCATTCAAACATCTTGTGGATAAACCGTTTTTTGTTCAGAAATTGCTTGTTTACGTTTTTTGTCTTTCATTATGATTCAATAATGAAAGGTTTTGTAACAAAAACTTTCTCTCGCTCTAATTTTATCAATGACACTCCCACCCTACTCCTAAAAACAAAAACAGTGATATTTCTTTTCCAAATTTCTTTGCAAGTTTTAAGAACATTTTTAAATTGTGGGTAGTGAAATTTTTACTTTTTAAATTTGAAAAAAATGCTTGTTCTTCATTCGCTTGCGCCAACAAGACAAAATGGGTGAGAATCGTTGGACTACAGAAATTCAATGTGGGCTAAAGAGACGAAATTCACTTAAATGCCGAAATGTATTTGTCGATATTCGTGGAGCCAGCGAAGGTATTTAGGTATTGTCCTCCACAACACAATCCTGGTGTCTCCGAATGAGACTTTGACGCAATATAACATTGCCAAACCGCATCCATAGGCCCAATCGTCACACGACCTCTCAGTTTAGTCAATGGCGCGATGTAATTGCACACTTAAAAGGTGTACGCACGAGGCGAATGTTGGCTGGCGACCAACTTTGTTGAAAGCGATTAGTTGAAAGTAGAATGCAAAGTTGAACAATGCAAACGCCTTCTATGGCGAATATTTTGATATTTTTTTATATTTTGATATTTTTGGTCATTAAAATTTTTTTTTTCGTGCAACCCGGCGAATGGTTAATATTCTGACAGTGGTATAATCTCCCCAGAACATTAAAAGTGCGACATCAAAGAATTGGATTTACCATATTCGAAACAATCGAGCCATAACCGCGAAAGAAAAGTAAGCTCCAATTTTTTTTTATTTGCCGGTTTTTTTTTGTTTAATAAATATTGCATATTTTCCACAAACAAATAGCTTTTTCATATCCATCATCTGGCAAACAAATATAAAAAAAAAAAGCTGAAAGTGCACCATCCATTCTCGAGTTATGCGCCATCTGACGTACGCAAGTTTGGTATCTACGTAGAAAAAAAAAATGAAAGGGAGAAGTATACATGCCTTCTATAATTTTGACTTATATGTATATTTGGCAAGTCTTTTTGTAAACAACAAAAATACACATTTTCATTTCTTTGCCAGCTTGGCAAATATAGGCTTATTTTTACTTAAATGTGATACAAAGCTCATTAAAATGTTGTGTAATGTCTTGTTATCATAGTGCTTTGTATTTTTATTATCCACCATACGTGAGTTGCTTCTATTGAAAAAGATCTAATACAAAGAATTTTTTTGTTTTGAAATTGTTTGTTTGTTTTTAATTTTTAAAATTCCTACTTTTGAAATGTATGTGAATGGCGGAATGGAGTGCAATGGGGTATAGTCGTTGCGCTGGGTATGCAGTTACAGTTGCATGGCTATACTCAATCCCGACTCTTGCGTCCTCGTTCGCGCACTCTGGGCAACGTGAGCAACCCATGTTCGAGATGCGGTAATCAATCCGAGTGGAGCCTTGGGTCACGGCAGAAAGAGAGGGAGCTTCGGTGGGGCCACTCTGACTTATTCGGTTTAAGGGCTCACTGAAGTCTGCAGCGTCTGTTCACCAGTAGGTGCGGCTGCAAGCGGGTGTCTGCTTGGAGCAAGCGGCTCGCTATATAAACGTGTATTTGGTTGCGAAACCACCCCCGTCCCAGCAATGGGTTGTGCGCTGGGCTTGGGACCCGCCACGTAAAAACCACTTCCAGTGAAGAAGCAAGGCAAAGCCTCGGATGAGACCCCCCCTTATGATGACGACCACGGCAAACGTTTAAAGGACTACGATTTGAGGGCATGCACCTGGAATGTCCGGACCCTTAATGGGGAAGGTGCCTCTGCCCGGCTGGTTGATGTCCTCGTAAGGACAAAAGCTGACATCACCGCCATCCAAGAAATGCGTTGGACGGGGCAAGGCAAACAATGTCTGGGGCCTTGCGACGTCTACTACAGCTGCCATGTAAAGGAGCGCAAATTCGGAGTTGGATTTGTGGTGGGAGAGAGACTCCGTCGCCGAGTACTGTCGTTCACCCCGGTGGACGAGCGTCTAGCCACAATCCGCATCAAAGCGAGATTCTTCAACATCTCGCTCATCTGCGCCCATGCCCCGACGGAAGAGAAGGATGAGGCATCCAAGGATCTCTTCTATGAGCGCTTGGAGCGCACGTACGAGCGCTGCCCCCGTCATGATATCAAAATCGTGCTTGGCGACTTCAATGCCAGGGTGGGCAAAGAAGAGATCTTTGGAACCACCGTCGGAAAATTCAGCCTCCACGACGAAACGTCCGACAACGGATTGAGGCTGATCGACTTCGCCGGGGCCCGAAACATGGTAGTATGCAGTACTAGGTTCAAGCATAAAAAGATCCATCAAGCTACCTGGCTGTCTCCGGATCGAAAAACGAGAAACCAAATCGATCATGTTGTGATAGACGGAAGGCACGCTTCCAGTGTTTTAGACGTACGCACACTCCGAGGCCCAAACATCGACTCGGACCACTATCTTGTTGCAGCCAAGATACGCACCCGCCTCTGTGCAGCAAAAAATGTGCGCCCAAATATGCAAGGAAAGCTTAACGTCGAAAAGCTGCAATCACAACAGACAGCCAGCGC